GGCCTCTGGTGATCCTCCCACCATGGCCTCCCAAAGCGCTGGGATAACAGGCATGAGCCACTGCGCCCGGCCCCCAGATGGGCAATCTCTGCCCCCAACCTGCCCCGCTCCCCACCGCTGAGCCCAGGTCTGGGGCTTTGCCATCAGTTCCGCCCCCTGAAGAATCTGGAAGGGAAATATTGACACAACCACCCCCTACCCAGACAGGAGGAGCCCGCGACGGATGACATTAGTGTTGCCGGCGCGCGGGAGCCAGCATATGGCTCCCGCTGCCGTGTTGGGGAACACGAGTGATTGCCACGTAATGAGATGCTCAACACGGCTGCTGGGGCCACACGGCGGGCCGCGCCGCCCACTCACCATATCTGCTGTTAAACAGGATCTGCACACACTCCCGGAGCGTGTTGATGTCCTCGGTTTCCTTTATGAAGGCGTCCCACTTCTCTATCAAAACACAGGAGGCACAAGTGAGCAGGGCCCCACGGGACAGTCACATGCCCCCCACCGGCCATGACCACCGGGTTTTCACCCCCAGAGACCCCGAGGCTGGCCCCAGGCCCCAGTCCTTCCACCCTCTCCCACCTCGGACTGTACACGAATTCAGGGTGCTCTGATAGTTCCCCATCTGCCTGTTCCTGCCCTAACATTTGTCTCTGGCCTCTCCCACAGGTGTGGTATCAGAATAGGCTCAGCCTGTCCATCCCGAGCCCATCCTGCCCCAGACATACAGGAGGCTGGAAAAGCAGTCCCTTCAGCAGAAAAAGAGGTCAAGTTTTCTTTTCTTTCTTTCTTTCTTTTTTTTTTTTTAAAGATAGTGTCTTATTCTCTCACCCAGGCTAGAGTGCAGTGGCGTGATCTCGGCTCACTGCAACCTCCACTTCCCGGGTTCAAGTGATTCTCCTGCCTCAGCCTCCCGAGTAGCTGGGACTACAGATGTGTGCCACCACACCCAGCTAATTTTTGTATTTTTAGTAGAGACGGGGTTCCACCGTGTTGGCCAGGCTGGTCTCGAACTCCTGACCTCAGGTGATCCGCCTGCTTCGGCCTCCCAAAGTGCTGGGATTACAGGTGTGAGCCACTGTGCCTGGCCTGAGATCGAGTATTTTATTTTTTAATTTAAATGTTTTTTAAAAAAATAGAGACAGGGTCTCATTCTGTTGCCCAGTCTGGTGTGCAGTGGTGCAGTCATAGCTCACTGTAGCCTTGAACTCCTGGGTTCACGTGATCCTCCTGCCTCGGCCTCCCAAGCAGCTGGGATGATGACAGGTATGAGTCACCACTCCTGGCTGTGTTTTTTCTTTTTTTCTTTTTTACAGATGGGGTCTCACTCTGTTGCCCAGGAGTGCAGTGGTGTGATCATAGCTCACAGCAGCCTCCAACTCTTGGACTCCAGCGATCCTCCAACTTCAGCCTCCTGAGTAGCTGAGACTACAGGTGCCCGCCACCATGTCTGGCTAAGGGCTGAGTCTTGATCTTGAGAATCTAACCCTTGTACCTCCTACATCTGAGGTCTCACTCAGCACTGGCCTCGTTGGCTTCCCCCAAACTCTCAGCTCTGCTGGCCTCTCTCTCAAAACCTCTGTCTTGATTGAATAATAACAGGTGATTGTTGGTTCATTTGTAATCAGTAGAAGTAACAACTTTAATTTGTTAAGTACTTATCTGTGCTAAGTACTTTATATATATAATAATCTCCTGTTTAATTCCTTATGACAAGTTTTAAACAGAGATATCATTCCCATTTTGCAGATAGGAAAACTGAGGCTTAAAGAAGCTGAGTATCTCGCTTGCGACAACCCAGTGAGGTTCTATCCCAGCTTGTGCCCCAGCCCACGGGCCTGTCATGATGCTGTTCCATCTGAACATTCACGTCTCCTCCCTGCCAGGGCTGGACCTTGTTTGGGGCAGTGGCAGATTGGGTTGTGGATGGCTTGCGGGGCGGGGGAGCCTCCATTCTGATCCCAGGGGACTGGGTTTTCTTTCTTTCTTAAAATTTTGTAGACGTGGGGTCTCACTAGGTTGCCCGGCCTGGTCTAGAACTTCTGGCCTCAAGCCATCCTCCCCCTTAGCCTCCCAAAGCACTAGGATTACAGGTGTGAGCCACCGCACCCGGCCTAGGACTGGGTTTTCTTACAGAACCTCTTCCTGGAGGTGAGGCTGAGACCCACACAGAGCAAAACTGCTGGCAAGTCCTACTGCACTCCTTCTTGGTATAACTGAATCCCACACTTCGCTACACTCAGGACTTCTGTGTGATCTTTTTTTAAATTTTATTCAATATATTGCTTCCTTTAAAAGGTGGAGTTTAATTCCTCTCCCACGGAGGGTAGGCTGGATCATGTTTCTGGCTTCTAACAGATAGAACATGACAGCAATTTCTAAGGATGGGTCATAAAAGCCATGTGGCTTCCTCGTTCCTCTCTTTTGGATCGAGAACTCTGGAGGAAACCGGCGGCCATGTTGTGAGGATGCTCAAGCAGCCCCGTCAAGGCTAGCCCACATAGTGGGGAACTGAGGCCTCCTACCAACAGCTGTGTGAATGAGCTTAGAAGCATCTCTTCCTGCCCCGGTTGAGCTCTTGGAGGACAGCAACCCCAGCTGTCAAGCAACCCCAGCCAACATCTTGACTGCACCCTCATGAGAGACTGTGACCCAGCACTGCCCAGCTCAGCCAGTCCTGAATTCCCAACCCCCAGAAACTGTGAGGTAATAAACACTTGATGTTTTAAGCTCCATTTTGGGGTTATTTATTTTATTTTTTGTTATAACTTTTTTTTAGAGATAGGGTCTAACTGTTGCCCAGGCTGGAGTGCAGTGGTGTGATCATAGCTCACTGCAGCCTCCAACTCGTGGGCTCAAGTGATCCTCCCGCCACAGTCTCCCAAGTAGCTTCAGCCTCCCAAGGACTTCAGAGGATAGGCACCACCACATCCAGCTAATTTTTCTTATTTGTTGCAGAGACAGTGTTTCGCTCTATTGCCCAGCTGGTCTCAAACTCCTGGCCTCAAGCAACCCTCCTGCCTCAGCCTCCCAAAGTGCTGGGATTACAGGTATGAACCACCATGCCTAGTCTGGGGCAGTTTATCATACAGCAGTAGATAACTATTATATCCCAGTTTACTTGCAGTCCCTTGAGCAGAGCTGTTCCTCCTTTCTCTCACAAAGACCCAGGAGACACTTATCAATTTCAATGAGCACCACCTTCAACCCCAGATTCCCACTCAGGCCTGGGTGCTGCATGGGCGCCGTCCTACCTGACTTGTCATGGACGATGGAGAAGAGAATGCGCTTGGAGGCATGGACGTTCTGGATGAGAGGCCCACCAGGCCCGGTGGGCTTCTGTCCTGGACAAGGGAGAGAAGGAAATGGGTTCCAGGTGGGCCCCAAGAGGGTTCCCCAGATCTGGCCCCAGTGTATAGGCCCTGGCTCTGGGGTAACAGCCTCATCTGCCAGGGAGACCCCAGAACTGATTCCTGTGATCACAAACTCAAGGCAAGGTCCCTGACCAGAGGCCTAAGACAGTCTGTACCAGAATCTGCTAGCCAAAAGCCAGATTAACAAGAAAGGGATGTCGGAGGTCACCTTTTCCAGGTAAGAACACTTGTTTTATGTGTATAAGCTCGAAGCCCTGGTCAGCCCACATATTTGGGCTTTTTTCCCCCCTAATAATAATAATAATAATAAGAAGAAGAATATATAACTTACAAGCACCTACTACAGGCCAAGCATTAGACCCAGACCCAAGTGCTTTTTTTTTTTTTTTTTTAAGGTAGAGATAGGATCTTGCTATGTTACCCGGGCTGGTCTTGAACTCCTGGGCTCAAGCAATCCTTCCGCCTCAGCCTCCCAAAGAGCTTGAATTACAGGTACACCTGGCCAGACCCAGTGCTTTAATACAGCAACTCTCAAACTTGAGCACATTGGAACTACTTGGCAGAGTTGTCCAAAAAGACTACTGGGTCCCATCCCCAGAGCTTCAGATTCAGCAGGACTGCAGTGGGACCTGAGAATATGCATTTCTAACCCTCTCTCAGGAGATGCTACTGCCACCGATCTGTCCTTTAATCATGATAACACTTCTGGGAAGCAGGTAATGCTAGCATTCCCATTTTATAGAGGAAGAAACTGAGGTTCAGAGATAGAGATTTGCCCCAGGATGCATAGCCACTAAGTAGACGAGCAGGATATGAATCTCACCTGCAACTGTTCCTTTTGTCCTGTCCACCCCAGGACCTACTTCCCCTAGTGCCCTTAATCAGGCTGGGTATGCAGTGGGTGCTCACTGAATTGGAGCGGGTCCTCACTGAATGCATGGGGATGACTAGTATGCTAACTTCCTTTATAGCATGTGATGTGGATCTCCCACTTTTGACACCTGAAATATCGCTGGTTCTTTTTTTTTTTTTTTTTTTTTGAGACAGAGTTGTGCTGTCACCCAGGTTGGAGTGCAGAGGTATGCAATCATAGCTCAACGCAGCCTCAAATTCCTGGGCTCAGTTGATCCTCCTGCCTCAGACTCCTGAGTAGCTGGGACCCAGGGAGTCCTTGCAGGTGTCTCTTAGTCCAAGGCCAAGGACATCATTCACAGATGGCTGAGCAGAGACTCAAGGTCCAAGGGGTCTCTGCTAGGACAGCATCTGTCCAGTCCCACCCCCATGCCCAGACACAGCTGCTTCCAACCTAAGAGGGCCCAGGCATCCTGACCTGCCCTGGGAGGATGTCCCATGCATGAGTGACCTCTGTCCCACCCCCTAGACTTGGAGATCCCAGCAGCAATGTTACCACAACAGTCGGAGAAGTCTTGGGCACCAGTGGCCTTGGGCTCTGGCATGGGCCGGCTCAGGCCCAGGTCGCTGGGGGCAAGGGGGCAGGAAGGTGCTTCCTGCTTGAGCTCTCGGATGGCGTGGTTGGGGAGCGCCGTGCTGTACAGGAAGCTGGCCATGGAGGAGGAGGTGGCGGTGGGGGGCAGGTCCTGGGGTGGCACCTTGGGGGCCTGGCCATGCAGGCCACAGTCCCGTGACCCCTTGGGTATCAGGGAGACACCATTCAGCTCCACCAGGGCCTTCGAGTCCCGCCCGCCATCCTCAAGTGGCCTGAGTAAAGGAGAGGACACATGGACAGCTTTGTACATCTGTTTCACATGTTGCAGCTCTTCCCCCACAACCCTGCATCCCCACCCTCAGCAGAACATAACAGCCCCGTAAGAGGGCAGGACAGGAGCTGCCTTTCTACTTTACAAGTGGGGATGCAGGCTCAGAGGTGGGAATGGTGTGCCCAGGGCCACAGAGCTAGGCCACTGGAGGACCTGGGCCCTGCCCCTCTGCTCCAATCCACTGATCAGATCCTGCCAGGTGCAATTGATTGCCTCCCGTCTCCTGCTGCTCCCCTCCCCTTCTCTGCCTCTGCATTGCCTGGGGTGCCTAGCAGAGATGGGCTCAACCTTAAGCCCTCAGGCTGCCTTCCTGGCTCTCCTGACAATTGGTACTGCCTCAGACCAGCCTCAACAGTATCTCCCCTGGGTCCCTAATTAACCCCAGATTTACAACCTGAACAAGCACAGGACATGGTTCTCCCACTTCTGACACCTAAAATGCCACATTTAAAAATTTTTTTTAAGAGACAAGGTCTTGCTTTGTTGCCCAGCTGGAGTGCAGTGATGCAATCACAGCTCACTGCATCCTCAAACTCCTGGGCTCAAGCAATCGTCCTGCCTCAGCTGAGATGACAGGTGTGTACCACCACACCTGGGTAATTTTTTTTTTTTTTTTCTGGCAGAGACAGGGTCTTGGTATGTTGCCCAGGCTGGTCTCGAACTCCTAGCCTCAAGTGATCCTCTCACCTCAGCCTCCCAAAGTGCTGAGATTACAGGTGTGAGCTACTGCACCCGATCACATTGGTGCTATTTTGTCCCAAGTCATGTCTCTTCCAGTCTCTCTGCAATGCAACTTCCCTGGGAAGACTTCAAGGCTTAATGACCTAGCTCAGATCCTGTTCTATGATTTCGCTTTCACTTCACCTCCACCATCAGACTGGGAGCTTTCACCACCAGGGTCCCCCATGGGCATCTCAAGTCCCTTCCCCTCTGGCTAAGTGGCCTCCAGGCCCCGGCCCCGGCCCAGCCCCAGGCCAGCTGCCTCACTCACCTCTTGAGCTTGAAGCGGATGCGGTGGCTATGTTCCAGGATGGCCATGAGGGCCTTGGGGTCATACTCAGCTGGCCTCCGGAAGGCCAGGCCCTCCGGCAGCCCCTGCACAGCCAGCAGCCCTGGCTCCCTGAGCAGCCTCTCGTAGGGCAGCGGCACCACGCTGGCCCTTCCCAGGGCCTCGCCTGTAGGGGGAGTCCAGGAGAGGGGCCTGGTATGAGAGGGCAGCCAGGCTGGAGTCGGGGCTGCTGTGCCCCAGAGTGGGGGCAGTGTTGAGTGGCTCCCTTTGGTGCAGGGTTCCCATGGACCCCTCATAACTGCAGACTTTGTGCAGAATAACTGCCTGCAGGCTGGGGGTGGATGCTGTGGACAAGGGCCCCTTGTCTGTATCTGAGGGGCTGGGGTTCCCCCACCGAGGGGGGATCCCTGCTGCCCTCCCTGGCCAAGCCCCTCTCCACTTGGGCACCTGGCTAGAAGGGAAACCGGGGACTACAAGGGCCCAGAGGACAGAGCAGAGAGAGACAATCTGGTGGGAGAAAAGAGGGCAGAACAGACGGAGAAGCGGGCACTTGCATGAGCCAGACTGCAAGGAAGAAGCTGTAAGGGCCGGGCACGGTGGCTCATGCCTGTCATCCCAGCATTTTGGGAGGCTGAGGCGGGAGGATCACTTGAGGCCAGGAGTTCGAGACCAGCCTGGCCAACATGAGGAAACCCCGTCTCTACTAAAATTACAAAAATTAGCTGGGCGTGGTGGTGGGCATCTGTAATCCCAGCTACTCAGGAGGCTGAGGCAGGAGAATCACTTGAACCCAGGAGGCGGGTTGTAGGGAGCTGAGATCATGCCACTGCACTCCAGCCTGGGTGACAGAACAAGAATCCATCTCAAAAAAGAAGAAGAAGAAGAAAAATGTGTAGGGAGGAAGGGAGAGAGACCAAGAGAGGGGAGAGAAAGCAAGAAGAAGAGGAAGTGGAGAGGGAGCAAAAATAGGGGATTCAGAAAAAGACGAGAGAGGCCGGGCACGGTGGCTCATGCCTGTAATTCCATCACTTTGGGAGGCCGAGGCGGGCGGATCACTTGAGGTCAGGAGTTTGAGACCAGCCTGGCCAACATGGTGAAACCCTGTCTCTACTAAAAATACAAAAATTAGCTGGGTGTGGTGGCGGGCACCTGTAATCCCAGCTGCTCAGGAGGCTGAGGCAGGAGAATCGCTTGAACCCAGGAGGCGGAGGTTGCAGTGAGCCGAGATCATGTCACTACACTCCAGCCCAGGCAACAGAGTGAAACTTCATCTCAAAACAACAACAAAAGAAAAAGATAGGAGAGAAGAGGAAGGGACAGACTGAGAAGACGCGGGAACAAAGATGGGGGTTGGGGGCACAGATGAGGGGAGGCAAGCTGGGGACTGAGGACTGGGCACTGGGATGTCTGTTGCCACCTCCAGGCTGCAGCCCCCACCTGGAGCCAGAAGGAGGCCCATCCTCTCATAGCCTCCTTGAATTCTGCCCAAAGTGGAAAGGGGGGCCAGGGCAAGGTGGGCAGGGGTGCGGGGGGCTCTGTGCATGGGCCCTGCAGTTGGCAAAAGTGTCGACACGGGTAGAGTCAACCATGCGTGGCAAGTCCCCCATCCCAGGGTGGCCAGCGTGACCACCCAGGGCCTCTGAGTACCCCTCCTCCTGACATAAGAACACCAGAAGTTTCCTCGCAGACCTTTGCTCCATAAAACCAAAGGCCACAGTAGGAGAAGGGATAAAGCCAAATCAGAAATGAATGAGGTGGGACCCTGAGGGCCAAAGGGACCTGTCCAAGGTTTCCCAGGGCGTGTGAAGGCCACCACTGGGGCCCTGAGGCCCTCTGCAACCTGACACTTCCCAAGGGAGGCCAGTTCTCCTCTCTCTGCAGGAAAGACGTGGCTGAGCAATCAGCCTTCACTTAGTCATTCAACAAACGTTCTCCAAGTACCTGCTGTTGCTGGGCTCTGAACTGCAGGCTGGAGACAGCTAGAAAGGGCAGACATAGCCCCTGACCCTGGAGAGCTCCTGGGCTGGTGAGGGGACAGGGCACTGTGGGTGCCAAGAGAGGGGCCTAAACCCACTGTGAGGGGGCTTCCAGGAGCAGAGCCTCAGTGGCACGCGGGTGTCCGCCAGACAGAGGAGGGGAAAGGCAGTCTCAAAAGATGCAACAGCGCGAAGGCCAGGGCATGTGAAAGGAACCAGCGAGTGCTGGAGAATGGGAAGTGGTTCTGTAGGGAGGTCAGTAGGGCCCTGTCACCTAGCAGGAAAAGAAGGTATAGAGGGGATGAGGATGGGTGTGTGGGCCCCTGTGCCATGCTCAGGGTCGATGGGGAGCCCCCGAAGGCTGTGGAGGCAAGAGCTTCATTCATGGTCAGACTTGTGCTTTGAGAAGATGCCCTTGGTGGCAGGGCAGATGTGGGGAGGCAGGGAGACCGTGGCAAGCCTGGGGCTATTTCTAGGCAAGAGGTGGCATGACTTGAGCCAGGGCAGGGACAGTGGGGATGGAGGTTTGGGAAAACGGCTGGAGTAGAACATCTGTGTCTGGGAATGCAGAGATGAGGGAGGGCTAGGGTAACCAGTACCTCCATGCCTTGGGGTCCGGCTTTGCCCAGGGCCTGTAGTGGGACAGGAGGGGGCCCCCTCTGCTGGGTGGGGACCCAGGCTCCCACCCTCCCTGGGGCCCCCAAATGGAATGAGGAAGGATCTTACTATAAAGAACATCAAACACCTCCTCTACCATCTTCCGCAGAAGGTACACATCTGAGCCGTGTTCCAGGGAAGACCGAGGGAGGCTCCGGCCGCTGCCCTCACCCCGCTGCACCTTCTTGGGGTGCTCTGCCTCCGGATCCTTCCACGGGGGCCCTCCTGTGGGACACACAGCACGGGAGGCCACAGTGAACACCCGTCTCACCACCCGGCCTTCGAGCTGGGATGTCTCTGCCCTGTGCTGAGCCGTGGAGACTGGCACACAACGTGATACACAAGTGAATGAATGAATGAAGAATTAATGAGTGACCAAGCCCTATCCCAACCACCCCACTGAGGGCCAGGGCTGGTCACCTCAGAGTTCCCATTGCCTGGCCCAGGGCTGGGCCTCACCTCTGGTCACCTCTAATTTGCTGTGTGACCTTGGGTAAGTCCCTTCTCTCTCTGAGCCTCCATCTGTGCATGCTCGTGGGAGGCCAGCTGTTCCAGCTCAGAACTGAGGTTCGATGAACGTTCCATCTGTCTCTTTCTCTTTCTCTCTCTCTTTCTCTCTTTCCCTCCCTCCCTCCCTCTCTCTCTCTCTCTTTCTTTTTTTTGACAGAGTCCACTCTGTCGCCCAGGCTGGAGTGCAGTGGCACAATCTCAGCTCACTGCAACCTCCACCTCCAGGGTTTAAGTGATTCCCCTGCCTCAGTCTCCCGAGTAGCTGGGATTACAGGCGCCCGCCACCATGTCCAACTAATTTTTGTATTTTTAGTAGATATGGGATCTCATCACGTTGGCCAGGCTGGTCTCGAACTCCTGACCTCAGGTGATCCGCCTGCCTTGTCCCCCCAAAGTGCTGGGATTACAGGCGTGAGCCACCGTGCCTGGCCCCATCCATGCCTTTCTGTGCCCTGACACCAACACTGTCTCGACCAATCTATGCCCCCGTTTTCTGCTCTGCCGAAGGAAGAAACAACGGGCACCCCCCAACCCCTGCTCCGAGGAGGCCGTGGGTTGCAAACAGCAGGTTCATGCCAGGCTGGG